GGGTGGCTTTTAGTGACAATTTTTTCAGTTGGCTGAGTAGTCAGCAGAGGACTGACAACCTCAGAGGCGACACGAATGTAACTTGTATCGTTAAGTGTCCTTATGAAATAACGCAAGGATGCCACATATCGGCAGAAGACAATAAATAGGGAGCACAACTCTTAAGCAACCGAAATTTTCTAACGATTTTCTAAACATCACACATTTCATGCACCACTGAATAAAAATCTTTGCTGTATGCTATTTGTTATGTTCGATCCATAAGGGACATGGTAAAGTCAACATCTATTCAGTGTTAGGTATATTATCCAGCTATCCACTGACATAGTCGATTCAAGGAAATAAAACTGTTGTCTCCTAATCTAGGAAAGAATATTCTCGCAGCTATATTTTGCCACCCTGTTCCGATAATGACTTTCTCTGAGATGACGTTATCCTGTTATTATCTGCTTCATATTTGTGGGAGAAATCTTTACCTCATGAGTTACTTGAACAAACTTAGGAGTAAATGTGTTGTTCTTACGCCTGTATGTAAGATTGTTCGGAGGGCATTGCACCGCGAAAGACCTAGTAAAAAAGTTTGGCTGGATAGAGGGCAACAGTCGAAATTCAATGACACTCGGGTCTCTAAGACTTCCAGAGGTCATCGGAAGGACAAGGAACGGCATGAGAAGACGAGATGCAGTGTATACGGGAAGTGCGTACAGTGGAGATAGAACAGGGGGACGGACAAGCAAACGGAAGTATATACCGAATCTCCATTCAATTGTCATTGGTCCATTGATGCTAGGGACAGAAGAGAGTCGGTAAAAATTCAGGGGTTCATAAACTTTTCCATACAATTTGTACATTCTCCTCCACATGTCACAGCGTTGAGAAATGAGTAGACGTCTAGAATTTTATTTCAGGTGTTCCGGAAAATCTATTAACATCTGCGTTACACCGATCAACAACTGTTATCATCGAGTCATATCTGAGGTTCTCACAGCGGTGACCACCTTCTTATTAGCGCCGTATAGTCTGACAAATATTTACCTATGTTTCGGAAGAAAGTACACCTCATATTGGTGGTCTAAGCTCTGTGCTTCCTTGCTCGACTGCGTCTTCAACCTTGAAGAGGGTGACAATACGTTCGACCGAAACATTGGTAAACTTCCACAAGATTACATGGAGTCACACTTCAATATATATAATACTCTTGAATTTTATTACCCACACAGCCTTTTATTATGATGTACGGCGTGAAGTTCGTCTTATTACTCATCGATGAAAATGACATGGTCGAAATGGAATCATATGTTGGGAAGACATCAGATTTGTCCCACCTCCATCGAAAGAGCGTCTGTATAGCATTGCATGAGGGTTTCTCACTTCATCTTTCCCAAAATTTCTGCACGAACCGAACATCGCTCTTAGTGGAAAGCAGCTCGGGAGGCCCTGGGTTAAAATCTTGGTCCGAAGACCGGTGTTCCTGACTGAGATTTTACATGATTTTCTTAGTCTCCGGAGAAAAATCTTGGAATTGTACCACAACTTAGGCAACAAGCATTTCCTTCCACATCCTTTCCCATTCATTATTCACGAATTATCATCCGATCACTTTATGCTATATGCGAAATTGAAAGCCTCGTTACCTTAAATAGAAAGTTTACTGGGAAACCTACAGATATGATAATTTGTGGAATGGATTTAGTGGATGGAAGAAAATTACTGCGACTTCCAAAGTAGCCAAAAAGAAAGTGAAGTTGTATTTGTATTTGCTATTAATGCTTCTGGGCAGGAATATCTGGGCTAGGAGGAAATTGAAAATCCCACACTCCCGGCATCTGATATATAGAGGCAACAAATAAAACACTGACAAGAAGACCTATATTCATATTTCCACCCAAGTTCGAGTCACGATTTGGTCGATTTGTTTTTAATTTATCTGATGCTTCCAGCCGCACTGTGGCCCTGGGGTCGACTCAGCCTCTGACAAAAATGAGTACCAGGAATCTTCCTGGGCGGCCGGCAAGTAAAGCTGACAACCTTACCGCCATCTGTGAGCCGAAAGTTTAGAGAAAATGTGGGAGCCTCGACGTCTCACAAACCTATGGGCCCTCACGGCCTACTGCAGAGATACAAATGTATCCTTTTCATTACGTTCTCAGTCCGTGCTCCGTTCCACTCCGATTCTGACATTGCAGCCGCACATTCTCGATCTGTGTTCACCCACCGTTCCTGCATCTTCTTAACCGATAGTTTACGGGAGTATAGAGCAGAATATGAGGGTGATTATGAACGATGATTTAACAAATATTTCGAGGGAGTCGTGCCGTATTTTAAAATACCACGATTTGCTGGAAGGCAACCAGTATAACCACAAACAGAATAACCAACCCCTTGCCGAGAATCGAAACGGTGATGCTAGCCACTCAAACCGCGACATTAAATTCTAAGTTCGGGCTATTCATGAGGCTGACTGCGCTAAAGTGACGACCAGAAAAGCGGACATATGTTTTAAAGCGGAGACACGGTATGGAGCTGGTACTGTTTACTTCGTCAGATGCAACGAAGGACTGAGACAGCCTGAGGCCATTGTCACAGAATGCGCACCAAGACTCGCGACTAAGGGAACTAAGGCGCCACCAGCCCAGTCAGCAAAATCATAAAGCACTCGACTGACCAGTTAAGAATATATGTGCTGTTACGTGTTTGATTGACTATAGGCGGTTCTTTTTTATTGCATATTGGATTTATTGATCACTTACACACACGACTCGGAAATACAAGCAATTACAACGCCATCGCTGATCTCCACAATTCACAAATCACCACAGTACCCGCCAATCCTTTTCAAGCCTACTGTGTCTTCACCAGCAGTTCCCTGGTAACGTCTTCTAACAGTGGAGATTCTTCAGCATCCGCGCTCACACCCACTCTGAATGGCGGCTGCCTTCCAACTGTTCCTTTTCTTCACAGACTCCAGTACAGAATTGACTAGTTGTCCCAGTTGTCTTCCTTATGATCACACGGCACGGCCAGCGCTGGCAACACCATTAATCCTCGTATGTGTATCCGTTGCCGAGGGAATGTGTTTACCGAGCCGTTTCCCAGCATCGGCCGTCTATTCTTTCTTATAAGAATCTGTTGGCTAGCAACGGATGTCGCTCCGTTGTCTGTTTCGTGGCCTTTACCTAGATACGAATATTGTTTCAGAGCCGTTCTCTAGCAACTGCCACTTCTCTGGCTCCACAGTTTTTGATTTGACCAAATACGTCACAGTATCAAGGAACAACACAAGCTCATCGGTTTCAACATTAGCTTACTTGTTTCGAAGATTATGGGTAGGATAATATTAAGAATAATTTCGGGAAAATATTGTTAATAATTCAGTTATTTTTGTCGTGTCATATTAACAAGTACAAACTATAATTGCAATTTTTTTTTGAGTGGCTGTAACAATAGGTCTTTTACTTTGTAGTAAGGACACGAAATATAAACGTTTTAAAAATTCCCACGAAAATATTTTTAACTAGAAGGGATGAATAGCTAAACATTGTGAGATATATTTACGTAAGGAGGAATTTAACATATCTAACATATCTAATACTGTTTTGATAGCTGAAACAAGGTTACGATGGGCTTCTCGTGTACCACGAATAAGAGAAAGAGAACTTACAGAGGGAAGTCTGTTGGAGAAGGGTCATTCGGAAAAGCGACAATGGAATAGATCAACAGCTTTAGATACATGTCAGGAAAATCTGTCCTGAGGATGGAGGATGGACTGAAGTATGGTGGGCTTTGCTTTTGGTTCGGATGTCTATTCATATATACAAGAAAATCTGTAGGCTGGAATGCATGCAGTAGCAGGAGTTCCGATGTTTCGGAGAAACTTGCCAACTGCGCGGTAAAACTTGTAGGCGCTTTCCTATTTCTGACGATTCGGAGAAATTTCTAATTGCACGGTAAGATTTGAAGGCTATATGATTCGCCTTGGAAACCTTATATCTCAAAATTTTGATCTAATTAAATTGTTTTCATTTGTAATAACTTTCTTAATTAATCATTTTTCCGGTCATGGTAGCTGAGCGGTCTAAGGCATGTACTGTCTTCGCTCGTTTGGAAACCGGGATCGTGGGTTCGAATCCCACTCAGGGCATGGATGTTTAGTTTGTGTGTGTGCGTTTCTCTGTGTTTGTGTACAGGTAGAGGCCTTGCGGCTACCTGATCACCCGCCCAAGGAGTCCTACCGAATGTGTAAGATCTAGAAAAACCGAAGTGATCGGAGAAGTTCATGGAGGTAGGCCTAGGCCCACTGGGGCTGTGGTGCCAAGGGGGGAGGGGGGGAATTAATCATTTTCTCCCATCGAAAAATTATGACTAGAATTCCGTATAAGAGAAAATTATGATTTCAGTTTACTTCTCTTCTCAGACCATTACAAGTCTAATTCAACGTCAAGTCTCTGCCCTTCTAGAGTAATTGCGTCTTAAATTTTCAGATCTTCCAAGAGAGACGGAGAGCTGCATTTGCCCTCCGTACTGCCACTTGTATTATAATCATGTTTACTAATGTAACGTTGTTTTATCGCATACAGATGTTTTAGAATTACAAAAGGTGATAATTAAGTCGGACAAACCTACGTACTCTAATACACTGTAATATAAGAAGCCAGTTTTAAAGACATAATTTTCGAGCTTTCATGTAATCTGGTGAATTTCTTTAGTTCCGTCACTTTCCTATAGCAACCTTGGTTTTCGTGGCCACCATGCTATCTACATTAGAATTAGTTGTTCCTGCGGTTTTGTCTCCTTGCGGGCACCGGAAGAACCCTCAGCCATTACCCCCATTACGAGGTATACAAAAACATTCGTGGCGTCTAGGGACTAAAATCAAGAGAGATGCGTTATCTGCAATTCCAAGTAGCAGACCCATAGTATTCTCTTGTAGTTACAACACTGATCGCAGAGGCAGCACTTGCTTAGAATTGTTTATATCGATAACACGTAGGCACGCATGGCGAGCGTTGTTAGCGTTGTTTCGAGTTGTGAGTTCTTGCGAGTTTCTACCACGAGAAAGCGGTGTAAATTTCAGTCTCTTTGCGTTGTGTGATTTTAGGCGAGGAAGGAGGTAAAGTGATATCTATATTCATCTAGTACTCGTCGTCTTGCATTACATTGTACTAAATTAGTTGTGGTACAGAAATGTATATTCTTCATTGTAGATTAATTTAGAATATTTTTATTAGCGATCTACGAGTATGACGTACGAGTATTTAGAATGTATAAAAATTAATAATTAATTTCTCTGTTGCAGGCCAAAATGGCAAAACCAAAAGGAGAGAAGAAAAGTAAATCAGCGATCAATGAAGTAGTTACCCGCGAATATACCATTAACCTACATAAAAGACTTCATGGAGTCGGATTCAAGAAACGTGCACCACGTGCTGTGAAAGAAATTCGTAAATTCGCAATGAAGCAGATGGGTACACCCGACGTTCGAGTCGATACGCGACTTAACAAACAAGTGTGGTCAAAGGGTATCAGGTATGTAAATACATGTCACTTGTACAGATATAATGTAATTAAAGAGTCATATGATGCTGCATGACGTTTAAAAGTTTAAGCTGACAAATGTATCTCTTAGCTATTTACTGAAATAAATATCAAACGTACTGTTTACAGAATACAGTAGTTCAGTTTGGTACATGTGCAAGTTTCATGTTGAATTCTCATGTTGAGTCTGGCGAAATAAAAGATAAAAATATCACCCGAAAGGAAAGTGAGGGAAGATACAAAAGAGATTACATTATGTTGTGACAGCAATATCTGTAACAGGACTCAGTAGGCAAAAAAGACTGGAAAGAATTTGATATAATGTTAGAGGCACAGCAGTCATTCTTGGGCAAAGAAAATGAGTAGGTAAGATTATGTTATCATTGGATGTTTAGCTGTTTAGTTTGGCATCACATCGAAACCTTCACATTCACTGCTGTGAGATTTTCATATTGTATACAGAATATCATATGTTAAATTGCTAGAAGCACTTCAGTTTGATATGCTTCCATAGGTTTATGAGAATGTGAAACAAGAAATTCATTTTTATATCTTTTCACTATAGGGAAGTGATACAACCAAGCCACAGCTGAATAGCAAGTTGAACTGTATCAGTGGCAGAATCTTATTAAAACTAAGTCGTCATTGCAATGCAGCTAGAATTTGGTGTCAGTGTAATCAGTGGGACACTCCCTCTCACAAACCATTCATCTCAGGGTTTCAGAGTGGCATAAAGAAGGCTGTATACGGGAGACAGAACCATTGGGTAGGCCTTATCCTGTACACACACTGGAGAACATTTCATAAGTACGTGTATGTTGATTGCAGTCCAAGACATTCAGTTTCCAAGAATTATACTTCTCTTGTCTGACCTGTGCAGCAAATTTTTACACTTCCATCCCTGCATAATAGATCCTCCAACAGCTTTTACAGGGAAGAATTTGTAAAGTGTTGCTCAGTTTAGTTGAATCTGATGAAAGACAAGCTAGACTTAATGAACAGTTTGTTGATGAGTGATGAATTGCACTTGCACCTAACTGGTGCATTGAATAGAACTTCCATTACACAGTTCAGAGGTCACTGTATGGTGTTCTTCCTCATCTCTGAGATTAGACAGCAATGGGCAGACCATCACAGTCAGTGTGGAGAAGAATAAATGGTCTACTTCAGCATGAAGCTTTGTGGTTCCAGCAAGATCAAGGTGTATGCCACACTGCTTGCATAAAGTCTGAGTACCATTTGCAACATATTCCCATAGCATGTGATTTCATGATTTGCAGACGGGTGTTGGCCACCTTCATCGCTTGGGCAAGGTGTAGAACACGTGTCCAGAAATACTTGATCTTAAAATACAAATATGTGAAGAAACTGAAAGAAAGCCGATTCTAGTGCTGTAGTTGTAGTGTCTGATCAGTAAAGGTTACATGAATTCACCATAGAAGAGAGCAGCACTAACTTTATGTAGTTTCTTCATGGCATAAAGATATGGTGTTTATATTAGTTTTAATAATTTTCTATTTCTAGGAATGTACCTTTTCGTGTGCGAGTTCGTCTGTCCCGGAGAAGAAACGATGATGAAGATTCACCAAACAAGCTGTACACATTAGTTACCTATGTTCCAGTGGCATCTTTTAAGGGATTACAGACTGAAAATGTTGATGCCAGTCAGGAATAACTGCTGTATAACTGATTTCATACAATAAAACTGTCCTCTTAATGCCAGTATGATTTTCCATTTCAGTTAACCCCTTAATGTTTTAAATACAATACCTACACTTTATTTTGCTGATATCACTTGGCCGTAGTGATGAAAGTATACAGAGTGATTCACGAAGTTTTACCCCCACTTAGGGAGGGCATTCCTGAGGTAATTTGGAACAAAAAATGTTAATATACTAATGGTATCCAGCTCATAATTAAAGAGATACAGTAATTTGAAAACCGGCGAAAAATCTTTTTTTCTTCGAATTTCAGTCAAAACACATTAGAAATACAATACAAACACTTTTTAAATTGTTAATGTTTTAGGAAAGAAGCATTCTAAAACCATTTTTTTTCAATTTCTTAATTTTGCTTTGTGCAACATTTTTTATCGATTTTATGTTACAAAATTACATTATTTTCAGCATCCCATTCTGTAAACTTACCAGTGGTTGCATATCACACCCTTCTATCAATCTGTTTCCTTTAAACTGTAGTGCTTTAGACGACTAGATTTACATAAGAATTCCAAAAATTTCTCCCTGCACGTCAACACAACGCGTCGCAAGCGTATGAACCGCGCTCATAGCATTTCACAGTTCCACACGTTTTTTTCCTTATTGTCATCGCTGTGTCCAGTATATGTTCAAGCAATGCTCCATGTGTTTGTACCTTTACCTGGTACACAATGTCCTTCATCCAGCCCCAAATGCAATAAAATGAACGGCCCGATTAACTGATCATACAGAACACCACACCAGACATTGACACTAAATCGGTGTTGAAAATTCGATTCTGTCGTGGCACGGGGATTATTGTCTGCCCAGACATTAAGTTGTGACTGTTGTTGACCCCGTCACGTGTAAATTGTGCCTCATCGCAGAACATTATCAAGTGGTACAACTGCTGATTTCCATTTAACCAGTTGCAGAACTGCAGACGTAGAGCACGGTCTCCTGGTTGTAGGTGTTGTATTTGTTGTAAATGATAAGGATGCAGCCCGTTCTCATGAAGAGTCCTCCATGCCATGGACTGAGAAACACCAAACCGCTGAGCTAGACGTCTTGTACTGGCATGAGGAATGCGTTCTACAGCATCAAGAATGGTTTCTTCTTTGCACAATTCATGTTGATTTCGTTCGTATTGTATACGAATGCTGGAGAGAGAACCAGTTTGTCTTAATTTGCTGAATGTACTGCTAATGGATTTAGGATTTGGAATCCTGCGAATAGGATAACGCCGGTGATATTCGGCAGCAGCGGCTCTCGCATTTCCATCACATACACCCAAGCAAACACCATATCGGCATATTCCTCAGTGGAAAATGTGTACAGCATCTTAACTTCACCCACTGTCCTCTTCACTACTAGATTGCTTTGCCTAGGTTCACGCAACATTCCAGCCGGTCAGCTTATCTGCTGACACAGCTGACTGGAATGCAAGGTCACCTGGGGGGAAGCATAGCGCTGCATTCACATTGATGTGTTTCATAAAAATATATTGTTACTCCGTAACTATTGAAAATCAATCAAAAGTTTATAAGGAAATTTTGCAGGAATATGTACCTTAAGCTGGGGTAAAACTTCGTGAATCACTCTGTATAAACTTGAAAAGTGTAAATCTTTTCCTGTTGCATTAAGCATTTAAATCCCATCTTCCCATGCTGACCATTTCAATAGGGGATTTATGAATGATTTTTTTATCTAATGCAAATTAAATTTATTGTTAACAAAATAGCTTGCTGAATTTTAGCTTCTGACAGCAGCAATGACAAATTCTGTGGTTCTTGGATGTGAATTGTGTAGTGCAGTAGAAGTACACTAGTGTTTTGGAGGGTCATACTGCCTGCATCTTGAGAGTCAAGAAGTAACCAAAGCAAGAAGTAGTGTTTTGGAGGGTCATACTGCCTGCATCTTGAGAGTCAAGAAGTAACCAAAGCAAGAAGTAGGTGGTAAGCAGACCTGTACTTTCTTTCACAATCCAGGAGTTAGCACACTACAAAATAGCTTGTTCATGCAACTTTCAGTTTCCAAGTACTCACAGTTCAGATATATGTTTTGCTGTATTCAGAATGGATCAAGGTTGAATCTGATTTGAATCTAGCTGTTGTTTTGAGTTTCTTGCAGCACTCTTGATTTTCTCCAGATAATGGTGAAGTACAAGAGGCTGTCCACTTCACACCATGATGATAAATACCCGTACACAAAATAGGGTTCCTTCATACAGACTAAGAGTAATGTAGTGTGGTACTGATGTAAAATTGTATTTTGGGGGGTTGCTCATACCAAATCATTGCCAGGAACATTGCTGTCTTGACAGTATCTGTAGTTTACCTCAATCCCTCGCAAATGCTGGGATAGTATCACAGGCCATGACCCCTGCATACAAATTGCTTTATAAAATATTCACCAGTTTCCATATCTTTGATGTTGTAAAGTATGAGAGAGCATCATAAAATAAAGAAAAAAAAAATCACAGCTCTTCGTTGTCTGGTATCCAGGAATCCAAAGTTCTCTTCCAACAGGTGAAATTTCAAGAATTTTTAATTTTATAAAGGTATTCAAAAACAAATTTGTGATGGACATATGTTCACCTGCCATGCAGTAATAATCCCAGCCACCACTAGTAGCACTACTTGTAAACTTCCCCATACAGACACCATTATAATAGAGCTTGAATCTGTGATTATGTTACAGTTTATGCATCCAAAATCTTCATGTGTCAGCCTACAGTGTTGCGTGGGAAGACCCAAATGCAAGAACTAACGTGAAAATGTGTTGTTTTAAATTAATATTGGGTTATAATAATTGATTTTCTTATGCAACCACCAAATTAATTTGATAGGCTCACCCGATTCCATCTACTTGCTGGAAAGCAGGCATACTCTATTACAGCTTTTAAGCCATAAGGTTTCGAATTCATAACGGCAATGTACGTAGGTTGTACTGAACGTCATGAGCAACAATTTTTTGTAAAGTAACAAGCTTTATTATTGACAAACCAAATACACCACCTCAATCTACAGACCTTTCTTTATTTTTCCACATTATTGCCACTTCTGTGTACACGTTTTTCCCAGCGTTCTGGGAGTTTGAAAATTCCCCTTCTGTAAAATTTCATTCCAGCTATCTGAAGACACCGACGCACTGCTTTCTGAATTCAGTGCCCTAATGGAAGTGTGTGCATGGGTGCGAGCAGTGTTTGAAGATGGGTGAAACATTTTAAAGATGGGAACACCAGCATCGAAGATGAGCCTCGGAGCGGTCGTCCTTGAACAGCCTTGACTGTGGACACAATAGCCCGGAAACTTGGAATAGGGCACAGTGCAGTACATGAGATGATTGAAAGGTTGAACTATAGGAAAGTCTGTGCTTGTTGGTTCGTGTGGTTATTGACCGAAGACCACAAAGGTCAAATTGGAAGCAATTGCAAAGATGGGGTGGGAAGTTCCTCCACACCCCTCCTATAGCCCTGATCTGGCACCCTCCGGCTACCATCTTTTTGGATTTGTGAAGGATCAGCTGCGTGGACAATGTTTTGAGACAAGGGAGGCAATTCAGAAAGCAGTGCGTCAGTGTCTTTGGATGACTGGAATGGAATTTTACAGAAGGGGAATTTCCAGACTCCCAGAACGCTGGGAGAAATGTGTACAAGGATGTGGTGATTATGTGGAAAAATAAAGAAAGGTCTGTAGATTGAGGAGGTGTATTTGGTTTGTCAATAATAAAGCATGTTACTTTATAAAAAATTGTTGCTCATGACTTTCAGTACAACCCTTGTGTAACTAGCCTGTATAAAGAGAATGGCTGCAGCATGAGTACTGAGGAGTGCATTAGAATTAAAATTTTAAAGGAAATGATCTGTGAGAAAACCCAGAACAAGCTGGTTTTCCTCACTATAAGATTAGCTAATCTGAACTCTTTAGTTATTCTACCTTGTCCTTTTTTGTTCTTATAATGCATTTGTACTTGTAGTATTTGGGCATTCTGGTCAGAGAGCCCTGTTTCCACCGCTTTAAAGTTGTATTGCCATAAGCTTTTGTTTAGTATTATTTGGTCTATGGCTGTTTGGCTTTTAGGTCCTATTCTTGTTGGGACATCAACTATTGCTTGCAAGCCATATTGTCTGTAGTTGTGGATTAACACTTCTTTTTAGAAAATCTACATTGAGATCTCCTGCTATAATAATATTCTTTCCTTTATTGGTCAGTTTGCTAAGTAATTTATTCAGAGTTTTAATGTTAATTTACTTAATCCAAACTGATGCATATGAAGGGATGTTAACAGAACTCTTGCTATGACGCCTTTCATCTTTTGTAATATTTTCGCATTGACGGTTTTATAAATTCACGGATGGCTTCTCATACCTGACCCGTAGAAATGAGTTGCATTAAGTTCTGATTAATAAAAATTCCATTTTCCCGTAAATTTTTTCTTCTCGCGTAGTACGTCAATTAAATTTTCGCGTTCCACATTCTCTTACCGGCGGATGGCTAAGTGGATTTGTCGAGAAATTCAGGGTTGAGTGTTGTTGGAGATGATTATTTTGTAAAGGGAGAATGAAACATACGACTCGTAAGTGTCGTGTAGCCTAATAAATGGGTTCCCTCGAAACTGTCGTACGTACCACATTCTACGGCGTCACATTCCACTAAACCTCTGTGACTGTAAATTTACGCATGTTTAAAGAAGTGAAAGAACACAAAATATTTGGATAATTGCCAACTTTTCAGTCTCACTTTTTTCTAGAAATGTCTACGGAACGTTGTCAATGTGGTTGTCAATATTGATCATATTGATCTCTGGTCCTCCGGTCAGAGGCGGTAATGTGTGAGAACCAAAATTAAGGAGTTACGTCTTTCCGTTACTAACAAAGTAGTTTTCCAGATTATTTATTCCAGATATTAACGCAGAATTGAAAGTTAGAAGTTAATGTGAGTTTTTGTAGCTGCGAATTCGAATACGAGCTTAAAAGCTCAGCTAAATGCAAGAGTAGCTAAGCACAGCGTACCTACTGTTGGTTATTAGATCCACGTGCCACTTTGAAGTATTGAAGGGCAAGTGATTCGTTTGAAAGCGTGTGTATGTAATAACAGGTTGTGAATTTCGTATTTAACAAACTATTGCCAGAATGAATTTTCACGAAAATACGACATGTGATTGGAAGGATAATGAATGTTTGGATTTTAAGGAACTCGAAGAACAGATAACACAAATTGTTGACAATGGAAATTTGGAAGAGATGTTGAGGATACAGCTGTCGGAAGTGGAAATGTTGCAATCCATGTTCTCAAATCCAGGAGAATTCTGTGTGTATGATTATAGTGTGATAGCAGATATAAACGAATTTGTTAATGGAAAATGTTCAGTTTATCCCCCGAGATTAGATTTTTCCATAAATTTATTCATAGATGAGGTAATGTGAAATTAAAATTTATTGATGTGTTGTAAAAACTGTTAACGTCAAAATTTGTAAAATTAAGTCAAGGAACTCGTAGTATAGATTTTGGCGTGAGATTAAGAGATTTTGTCAGTACAAGTATCTAATGCAAGGTTATGTTTATGAACTGCTTTTGTAGATGATACCAGTTGAGAAAGAAAGGGATGCATGTACTTTAAATAATACAAATCTGAATAATTGGTGAGTAGATAAGGCTGCTGGTATGATAATGTGCAGGACATTTATGTTCAATTGTAAGAACAACAGAGCGAATTCTCCTGCTCCCAAAAAAATGAACAAGAAATGTAATGATGACAGTCAGGATACATGTTAAGGCTTTAATTTCCAGGTTAGTTGGTCACTCTGGTTCCAAAGTGGATTCAGATTTTCTATTCCACTGTATTGAGATGTCTTTGGGTACTCTCAGTTCTTTAGTCATATTCTCTCCTTTGAAATGAAGTGCCTGGATCATGAATCTAACCACTTTCACCCAGTACCAAGGTCAGAATTTTGTATGGCACTTTTCACTATACATTATGTAACCTTTTACAGATGATGATTAACAAAAGGGCAGTGATTTCTAGGACAACATTACATCCATCTTCTGAAATGCTGTACATCTTGATATGTCCTAGCCATTAGACTTTGTTGAATGAAATGTAATTGCTATTATTCTAAAGTGTATTCTGTAATATTGAAAATCTGAGAGTATAGTCAGTAATTATAGGGCTGGAACAGTCCATAATGGTGTTGGTGTATCCAAAAAGAAAGTAAAAGCTGCTGCTAACATAGTGCACTTGTAGCATGTCTTGTGCTTTGCAGATTGAAGATGTAGACTGTAATATCTGGAAATTTATGATTATTGTATGTAGCAGTAATTAGGACTGTTATTTCAGACATTGGCCATCATCATGAGTTTTTCAAGTGCATTTTAGAAAGTGGATCAATTTGAAAAACATCACATTAAAAAGCTCGATGGACAGTGTGCAAAATAATAGTCATTGTTATTATGACTGTTCTTTATGCTGCTGCTGTTAACAACCCAATTGACACATTACATTCAGAGTTTTTTTTTCAGCAAGCGCACATGTAAGCAAACAATTGTTACTAGTTAAAAGTCAGTCATCTGATGGAGCATTATGTGTTTCAAGCTTGAGGCTAAAACCAAGTATGAGATTACTGTGATATGTGTTTTTTTTTTGTGGGGTGAGGCACTGTTTATGCCAAGCTTCTCTGTTAGTAAGGATATAAGCAGTGCATTTTATTTTACAGTTATGATTGTGTTTTCTTTATTGATCACAGACATAAACATACTGCTGTTTGTCTACATTAGAATGGCATTTATATAAATTTATCCGTTACTAGTATTGATGATTTATTGTCTATGTAATGTTAATTGATAATGATGATACAGTTTATATATAGAAAAATTGTAGAATTGTTATTGAATAGCAGATGATATAGGAAAGTTTTGATGAGTTATATTTGACCAGCATGCCATGTTTCATGAAGTCTATAGCTAGGGGAATTTTGGACTCCTGTGTTCACAGTTCTTTGAAAATTTTATGATAAAGGCGTTTCTCTTTGGGTTTTGAAATTAGGAAAATTGCAGCTCCTAGGTCATTGTTAATCAGTTACATATGAAAAACTCTAGTATTGTCATGTTGTTATGTTAATATTCTTGAAAACAGTAATCCAGAAAGTTTGCTTCTTAATGCTTATGAGGTTCTTATTATCATTTTGACAATGGAGTGGGCCAGGTTTTTATCCAATCACTTTATTTTCGCATTCTAGTTGAATGAATGAATGAATGAATGAATGTACAAGGGATGGGCCCTCTCGGCCCTTGCACCGCGACCTGCAGTGATCTATTGTGCTTTCCCTTTTGATTATCCCCTCAGCAATCCTGTGCTTCGAATAAAGTGCAGGATTTTGTACGTGGGGGCATCGAAATAGTCACTTGGTTCCATAAAGTATTAACCCAAGTGACTTAATCTTAAATAAGCTAAGGCCTCACATTCACACAGGATATGTGTGGCTGTTTCATTTTCATCTTGACACCTTTCGCAAGTGGGACTATCACTTAGTCCCAGTTTGAATAGGTGTCCTTTAAGGTGACAGTGTCCTGTAAGTAGTTCCACCACCCATCGTAGCTGGTTCCTGTTTAACTTCAACAGTTCCTTCGCTCTTTTAGCAGAGGGTCCTCGAATGAGTCCCTTTGCTTGCCTTAGTCCAGTCAAGGATCCCCAGTATTTCTTATGATTCATATTTGTCCAGTCCCTGATTGCCTTTCTGGCAACTCCTATAGAGATTCCACAGGCTGGTCCAGGTCCTATGAACAGATGTTCAGCTCCAATCTTAGCCAGTTGATCTGCTGTTTCATTTCCAGCAATACCTTCATGCCCCAGCACCCATATCAGTTGTACCCTGTTATGTTTGGCCAGTTCCATGAGGGTTTGGTGGCAATCCCAGAACAATTTTGAGTTGATCTGGTGTTTGTCAAGGGCTTTAAGTGCAGCCTGGCTGTCAGATAGAATGTAGATGTTCCTAGTTCTGTAGTTCCTATCTAAATTGTCCATAATACATGTCTTAGTGGCATATACTTCTGCCTGGAATACTGTTGTGTACTGCCCAAGGCTTGAAACTAAGTTTCTGCCTCGTGCCATAGCAGTACACACCAGCTCCAGTGCCCTTATTTATCTTGGAACCATCTGTATACCAGATCAGTCCCCCTTTTCCATTGGGCCAAAACCCGTCTTCCCATTCACTCCTGTCAGGAAATCTGACTGAATGGTTTTTCATATGCATGTCTCAGTATCATTTTGTCAGACCCCATTTGTAATACGGGTTCTTTTTTCATTTCCAGAGTTATGTATGCATGTCCGAAACTATCGGATCTAGGCTTCCATTGATTACTGAATTGGAGACAGTAGATTCCTGCCCTGACCTCTGCCTCCAGCTGTAGATGCAGTGGGGGGAGTCCAAGCAGTCTCTCCAGTGCAGCTGTTGGAGATGTTCGATTTGCTCCTGTGAAACCCAAGGAAGCCAACCTTTGCAATTTGCTAAGTTCTGCCTTGCTTGTCTTGAGTTTAACTCTGGCCCACCATACTGTGGTGCTGTATGTAATTATGGGTCCTACAACCGCAGTGTATATCCAATGCACAACGTGTGGCTGCAGTCCCCAAGTTTTACCAAACCTGCTTCTGCATGTCCAAAAAGCCTTATAGACTTTTTGGATGACCTTGTCCAACTGCTTTTTCCATGTCAGTCCCTTGTCTAATACTAGACCAAGGTACTTGACATCGCTGGAGAGCTGAATCATTTTATTGAAGAGGGTCGGTTCCTTAAGGCCCTTTATATTTCTCTTCCTTGTAAACGGTATAATTACCGTCTTATTAGGATTGATGGAAAGACTTGTTCTTTCACACCATCATTGGACCGTGTACAGAGCTGTTTGAAGACACTCTGATACTGTTGAAAGGAATTTTCTGTTTATATCCTACTTTATAATACCCATCATCATTAAGTCCCCACAGGAGATCGTCGATGACCAGGCCCCACAACAGAGGCGAGAGCACGCCCCCCTGCGGAGACCCCCTAGACGCGGACGCCCCCAGAGTTACTCCTGATAATGTAGCAGCTATGGTTCTGCTTTCCAGCATAGCACTGATCCACCTGCATATTTCAGGCTCTATGCCATGCTTTCCAGTGGCCTGTTTGATTATATCAAATGAGGTTTTATTGAAAGCTCCCTCCATATCAAGGAATGCTCCTAAGGCAATATCCTATTGCTTGATTGCACTTTCTATGCATGTTACCACATTGTGTAGTGCGGTTTCGGTAGATTTACCTGTTTTATAGGCATGCTGGTTTCACTGTAGAGGATATGTCCTCAACGACCCATCCCTGATATGCCTATCCACTAGTTTCTCCATCATTTTCAAAAGGAAAGACAACAGGCTGATAGGGCCATAAGCCTTAGCCTCGGTATAATCAAGTTTCCCGGGCTTTGGAATAAACGTTACCTTAACCTGCCTCCAGGCTGTGGGGATAAAACCATATGCCAAGCAGGCTCTATATATGCGACATAGGTGTGGAACTAAAAGTTATGCCCCATGCTGCAAAAAATGCCGGTACAATTCCATCTGTTCCCGCTGATTTAAAGGGCCAAATGTATGCAGTGCCCAACTGATTTTGATTAGTTAACTATGACTTTGGCCAGGTTCCAGTCTGCCCTGTTTGTCTTGCTTTGGCAAGTGTCCAGGTTTTGCTGACCCTGTCCGTCATCCAAATTATCAATCAATTTTGAATCAGGAAAGTGAACCCTGAATAATTCATTCAGTGTCTCCCTTCCTGTTTGAGTATACTTTCCGTTAGGCAACTTAATTGTCCTAACCTTGTTAGTTGCTTGTTTTGCCATGATTCTCATGAGTCTTGTACCTCTGGTACATCACTGATCTCCTGGCAGTGCCTCCTCCATGAGGATCACTTGGCTTTTCTTATTTCTTTGTAACATGTAAGGGCTTCCTTGTAGGTGTCCCACTGCCCTGTTCTTTTAGCTGTATTAAACAGCCTTCTCGTTTTGGTTCTAAGCCCACTCAGCTGCTTACTTCACTAAGGCGCTTTCCTTGGTTTGCAAGTGGTCCTAGCCGGACAATTCCTATTAAAGGACGAGATAATAGCCTGTTGCAACTGGTCAACGGATGGATCAGCATCCTTTATTGTGTGTATATTTTGGGAGGTGGTCTCCAGATATACCTTTCAGTCATCTTTGTAAGACTCCCAGTTGGTTATTGCATATTTGAAAGCATATATATCTGTGATCTGATAAGGATGGCTCATCAGATACATGCCAATTACTTATCAGGTTTCCTATTTTGTCGGTCTCTAGTGTCAAGTCAATACCTCCTGCCTATTGCAAACCACAAATGTAGGCTCATTACCTTGGTTTAGAATATTAAGGTTCGAACTCACCAAATATTCCATGAGGCATTCTCCTCTTGTGTTGATGTCAGTGCTCCCCCACAATGTGTGGTGTGTGTTGGCATCACACCCAGTGATGAGCTGCTTTCTCCTAAAATGGCAATATTCAATGATGTCCCTCACTTCCTTGGAAGATGGTGGTTCATTCGAGTCATATGGAAGGTAGGCTGAATTTACGATGAGCTCCTCACAGCCTCTGCCCAATGTGTATGTCATCCTCACCATTGTTGTTGTGTCTCTGGAACAACTCCAGCAAGGGTAAAGCATTAATATGATTATTAACATACATGCATGATCTTACATTTTCTCTGGGTATGACAGAAAAGACTGTTCCCCCTGAATTCGTTGGGGCTCTTATTTGGCCCCTATATATCCAAGGTTCCTGAATAAGTGCTATGTCTACTTTTCCTTCAGCAAGTTGCCGACATAAAATTGTCGTAGCAGCCTTGCTGTGGTGTAGGTTAATCTGAATGAATCGTATGTTATGTATATATGTCATGTGTATGTATGTGTGTTATGTGTTCATTCTATAATGCTGGGAAAGGTGTCCTCCATACCTTCTTCCACAGCTCCTTTTCTTTTATTGGACCTGGTTTCCTCCAAGGGAGGTCCCTGATCTGATAAGGTCAGGTTGACGAGAGGAGGGATTGTCTCCTTCTCATCAGATACTCTCTTCTGGTCAACTGAGGGAGTGGGTACATCATCCCCCTCCCCCCCAGAGGCCGATTTCGAGGGTATTGAACTGGGCACAGCAACTTTATGCTGCTGTGCCTCAGGATCTTGCAGGACCCTAACAGTTCCCTGTGAGATTCCTGTTTATGCCTTATATCCAGTTCCCTTGATAACATATAGGGAATCCCGGTCTATAAGAAGGATCAGTCTCTGCCCTTTCGGTTCAGATTTCCTATCCAGTATCATCCAACTCTCAGTATGGAGTCCTGGATTAAGATTCCCGATCCATTTCAGCAGCTCCGCCTGATTTTGGGTAACTTTGTCCTTCATCGTGAGAGCCACCTTCACAGGTTTGGGCAGGTTCTTGGCGTCAGTAATCTTCAGTGTAGCCCTAGATTTGAATCTGTGATTATTTATGGTTTTAACGAGCCACTGTCCAAACTGTTGGTCGGCACATGTATATATTAATGCACCTCCCTCCAGTCTGTATGATTTCAGGTGTGGTAGTTCTCCCAAAGGAGAACTCCAGAATGGAGTCTTGGTCTCCTTCTGTTAGCTTATCTTCAGGATATGTTTCTTTGAAGATAGCTAACCTTACGTGGGTTATTGCCTCCTTGTAAGTCCCTGGGCCTTTTTGGAGGTCTGCACACATCCATGGGGGTATTCTCCTCTGATCTTGGCCTCTTAGAGGTTTCAGTCGAGGGTCTCTCCCTCTCTGATGCAATTTCAGTTCCCGGTTGCTGAATGCCCCCAGTGTCTGCTTCCATTGCCTTAGCCTTAGCCTTCTTCAGTTTCTGTCTAGCGCATCCGGACAATGTCTTCTCGCCGGACAGAACCTATCAGCCTCAGAGGTTGGGCGCTTCTGACCTTCAGCCACCGCAGGTATGCTGGATCTACCAGCCCCCCGTAGCGGTGCATCAGCACGCCAAACCACTGAAGGGGGGGAGGCCCTTGACTGTATACCAGGCAGGTTTCCAAATATTGGTTTGTCCCTGCCCTTGGCTGAAATCTTGACTGTAGGTTTGCTGGTTGTGGTTGGGCCCCTTAATGGTGCGCCAGAGCTTCCAGCCCACTGCTGAGGAATTTCTCATCAGGATCTCCATGGAGTATCCCTTTTCTTTTTAAGGTCCTGTGGACCAGTTGTGGTTTTGAGTTTTTTGGTATCCATCTTGGTCCCACGAGTAATGGGGATGTACAAGGTCACCACCCACAGAGCATCATATGGGTGGAAGGCATAGTAAACGGGGTGCTGCCTGGTGCCCCGAGGGTGTTGTTCACGACACTGGCTAAAGTACTACCCCGGTGCCATGCAGCCGTTGGCACGATGCCTCACACCTTGGATTAGATGGTTGGTCGCATTATGGTAAAATCCTCATGAGTCTCCAGGACCCAAAGAACTCGCTTGGGGGAGGGGGCTATCCCTGATGACTAATGGGAGTGTGATTCCAGCTACTCATGAGGTTGAGACCAGGAGACCTGCATGGGAAAATCACCCCTGGTGAGTGCTCTCCCGCATTCTTCCTGGGTAGACCATAGTGATGCCCAGGAGTCATTATGCTGCCTTGTGGGAGGCTCCGGTCGTAAACATGCTGTTGCCCTTTATGGGATCTTAGCTGTCAGTCCCAGTAGTCATAATAGTCCAGACCCCAAGACTGCCGTTGCCCAGCGGGACCATGAGGAGGTGTCCCAAGGTTGTGTTCTGACATCCCCCTGGTTTGGGTTACGCCCCCACCAGATACACAGCCGTAGTTCTGCCAACCTCACTGAGGAAGGCATCATTACTACTTGTAACAGTGCCCTCAGGGCGTCACTGCGACTTCGCCTCACATTCCAGTTACAATTTCACTAATACTCCACACTCTCTATTATCAGAGACTAGTACATTTGGAATGCAGTACCAAGGGACTTAATCCCACCCCATACCTACAACTTAAAATAGACCATGTGTTACTGACTCCCTAGAACCAATATTAATAATTGGCTTTTAATTTTTTAGGCTAAGCTGGAAGTGTGCATTAATTTGCCTCATGATTATCCTGCCAGTGAACCAGATATATATGTTCGAAGTGACAAGTTGGATCGAAACCAGCAGCACATTTTAAACAGTGATTTGGCCAATTATATATCCACACTTGAAAGAGGAGAGATTTGCACATGTTCAGCAATATCTTGGTTGCAAGAAAATGCATCCCGGTACCATGTTGAATCTGCAAAACCTGACAAAACTGTGAATAATAGTGACGAAAATGATAAGTTCTTTGCACGATATTGGATTTATTCCCATCACATATACAGCAAAATTAAAAGAAAAGAGATATTGGATCTTGCTAACGAGTTCAGTGTAACAGGATTTTGTTTGCCTGGAAAACCAGGAATAATTTGTGCAGAAGGATTGGCTAGAGATTGCATTGAATGGTGGCAAAAGGTATGTATTTTCACTCATATTTATTTTTCAGTTTGTTGATTAGTTATTTTATTATGCTAATATGAACAGCTGATGTTATGTACTTCTGAAATAAGTATAGGTACTTTTACACATACATTGTTTCACAAGTGATTGGAATAAGCCATTCCATCACCAGTGACATTGGAAAGGAAAGAACTGCCTGTTCGAAGAATGTGATGGAAAAACAATCATAAATAACAGTGTCAGTCTTCATGATTTGTGGTGGAATGGGATGAGATCATTTGCTTTCTTTCTCTGCCTGTAGGTATGGAGGGTTGACGTTCTTCTGTATTACTGATGCTTTTCTATGACTCCTCTGATCTCATGTGAAAACAGCAGATCGTAGTACCACAGGGAAGGATCACAAGCAGTATCAGTAGATGCATATATTTTATGGATTCTAGAACTCTTTCTTTAAGTTCTTAGTTAAATGATCCATGTAAACTTTGAATCTTGTTCTCAATCCACTCCGTTTTCTTCTCAGTACACTGTTTTCTCAAAGTTCATATTGTTTTCAGATTTTCATTGGAATATTACATAGATCTAATCTTGAAAAGACACAATTCCGGTTTATACATATTTATAAACTCTTAGAAAATCCCTCAATTTCTTGTCATTCACTATGGAGCCGTCACTTGTGTGACAGTATCGACTTCTCACCCTTATGTTTTGCTCCACTCATGACTGCCTTTTGCCCTACTTTACGTCACTTATTCTTTTACCTGTATCCCTTCATTTCCTTGTGCTGCGGCTCACCTGCAACTCGTGTCTGGACGCCTCCACTGGAGTTACCGTCCTCCTTCCTCTTCTCATGGATGTTGAAAGGTTAGGTGGGAAGGGAGGAGAACTGTGGTTGTTGGTGCTGGTAGGTGAGAGTTCGTTTCCTGTATGATCATTAAGTGTCTTGCAAGTAGGGAAAGATGGGAGTTGCTGGGTTCTGCTTTGTAATGGGTAGAGATGAGTTCTTATCCCGCGTCATACGAGCCTGGCTCAGGCAGGGCAGGAAGATCCTTATGCTACAATCACATACACCACTTCAAGACTTTTGCACTTCAGTAATTATTAATTAACTTCAGCTTACTGAACACAACAGAAACCCTAATAGTTACACTTATTTGGATGGAACTTGTAATACTTTTACTTTTAGTTGTGTTTTTGTGTCTGACTTGGCCGAAAGTTGAATGAAGACTCCCTGAGGTAGAATGCACTTTCTCTGAATCCTGAGGTCCATGAACCACAGATTCCAAGAGAAATCCACTCCTCCAACATGTGCCATTGGTTTAGTTTGAAAACTAGGAGGTTCTCTAAATTTGTGAATTTCCAATCATGTTGCTTTGCTATGTGATTCTGACAATTGCTGACCTGATGCTAAGGTTGACAGCGACTTGATGTATGAAGATCAGGGGGTGAGGATCCGGCCCTCCCACTCCTAAGTTATAACTGTTCCAAGCTGTCAGATCTCAAATTCTCAAAGACTTTCCGACTTTGCTGAAAGTGCCAGAATTCCAGGAAATGTACCAGATGTTATGTCCTGTCCACATAGCAAAACATGAACTATATCACTTCTGAGTGTAAAAAGTCGGCTATCTGCCGGATCTCTGTATGAATTTCACATCAACTTAACTTAATATAAATGTAATTAATTTAATTAATACAAAAGCGTCTAGCAAATTATGATGAACGGTTACATCCTCCCAAAGCGAATATTTGTACACTAATGTAATGTAACAAACAAAGATTTGTTTTCACTGCCGTCCTTAACATACTCTTAAGTAACACAAACAAATGGAATGACTTGAGATCAGTCTGTTATCTACCATGGCAATGAACCCTTTGCTTGCTACTAACTTATTAGTAGGCTACAAAGTTTTTTTTTTGCTAAACACTAAATTTAGTTAGTGGTACAATCAAGTACGTATGTACACAAACATTGGCAATTTTCTGTCTCTGTCCATACACTTCTATGCTTTTATCACTAGTTTCACTGCACCACTGCTCTATTCAACAATTCTCTTCATTCGCCGTGCTCTTGACTGCTTATACTTTCTGCCTAGATTGCTACCTGGTAACCACTAAGAAATCAATTCACACTTCTATTTACGAGTAATTGCAGTTAGTTCTGTGTCCGCCCCTTTAACTGGTCATAAACCTAATATCCTACCTTCTCTTTCTCCCTTTTTTTGGAGGGGTTCTCTTCCAGGTCTTCAATGACCTTAGTTTAGGGTGAATTCTGACCTGCATTCGTTTCCCCTAGTTTCTCTATACTCCGTCATTTTCACTTCTTTACAGCAAAGCTTTACTTAGACTAACATGTGGACAATGTTGATTTACAATCATTCACTCATTGACGCAGGCACTCTGGCTGTCTTTAGTTATTCTATTAGTGCAATGAAACTGACTCTTTCAAAGCTATATTTTGTTAGTGGGTAACCGAATCATCTGCTTGCGATTAAGGTCTGCATATGTTCATCCAAGAAATCCCCAAATTTCTAGTTAAGTACTACCCAAATTTTTGCACGGGAACTCTACTTCCTGCAATTGACATTCAATAGTTTGCCTAGACATCTGTTGACTACATCTCGTCATTGTCTGCCAAGAACTATATCCAGATGAACCAGATGTTCTCCAAACGACCTTGAATTTACCAGAATGTCTTCTACATGGTGTCAGAAAGAATGGATGGATGGGCAATAAAATTGGTAAGGCTTCATCAAATCCAAATCTTATTGTTACCATCAGATTCGCCAATACATGCAGTTTATATGTGGAATACAATATCATCCATATGACGTCCTTGGCTTCTGATACAGACGTCGAGGCGTTTTCTGAAGTTATTCATCACTCTCGCGGTCATATCTGGTGGAATCGCCGCGATTTCTTCTCGAATCGCCGCCTTCAGCTCATCCAGTGTATGTGGTCGATGTTTATAAACTTCTGCCTTCAAATGGCCCCAAAGGAAGAAATCTCAGGGCGCAAGATCGGGCGAACGTGCGGTCCAAGGAATGTCACCGCGATGCGAGATAACGTTAGGTTTAACCTGTGGCACGAAATGAAGCCACCCACCGCAAAATTGTGTTCCGAGTAGGGATCCTATAGCGACGCCCAAGCTCGAAATGAGTGCGGAAGGCTCGTTGAGTGGCGATCACAGACTCTCTATTTTTCAAAAACGTCTCTACGACGAACGCACGCCGTGCACCCGACCACTCCACATTACCAACTGAAACTGCATTCTCCCGCCGACTCAACGGTCCCCCCCCCCCCGTCGCGCCGCAACGGTTGCTTGAAATCCAACCATCTTTTCTGACCCACTCTGCATGTAGGATACATCTCCCTCGGTTCCACCACCTAACGCTAATTTCAATGCTCGGACAAAAGCCGGCATGGTGTTCCGAAAGCCCTATGAGACTCTCTTAAACTGGTAAACCGTGGAGTCGTATAAGAACGCAGTATACTTCCTTGAATCCTTATCTAATTCTACCTGTAGATAAGCGAAACTGAGATCTAATGACGTCATGTATCTTGTGCCGTCGAATCTCTGCAATAACTCATGCAATGGCGGCGTACGTTCTCTATCTGGCACGGTCTTCTGATTGATTTTTCTTGCGTCTATACAAATTCTAATCTTCTTCCCTTCGTGCTGGACTATGGTTTTTTTCGTTAGGTCTTCCTGAAGTTTTGTTGTTCGCGCGCAGAGGGACGCTTCTGCCGTCTGTAATTTTTCTTGTGTCTTTTTAAACCCCTCAGTTAGTTCCGACTGGAGAATCCGTTTGTCATATTCAAAGATTAAAAAATGTTTTCAATTCTATGTTGGATTGTCTCATCCAACTCTGACCTCATAGATTGCATTGCGGCCTTCATTTCTTCCCGCACGGTTTTTCTACCGGCCTTCATTTCTTCCTTGTCGGCCTTCCTCTTGGCTTCGTGTTTTCTTTGTTGGCGTCTAATTTTGCCAGCATGATGTCTGCTCTTTCTTGGTTGACGTCTAATTTAGCCAGGAATTCGTTGTCTGTCTCCATCTTCTTCAGCAGAAGTTCTAACATCTGCTGTGACTCCATGTCTTTTTTGCGTGTGTATGTTCGTAACCACTTCTGATACCAATGTAACGTGTTTTGTCTCTGAAGACGCCGTTCAGATTGTTAATTGGTTTATTTAACAACCTACAAGTCGTAACTACAATTGATTGTAACACTGTTGCAGGTTTAGACAATTTACAAACCCTACACACTAATCTATTCACTCTATCTTCAAGAGTCTTCACGTATTAATAACGCGGGAGCTATAGAAGTCTCTGAATTACAAACTCCCAATATAACTGTACTACCGCACACACAAAGTCTTGAAAGCACACACGCTGGCTGACTTCTCAGTTATCGCACACTATCACATAAAATCTTCACACACACGTTTGGGTCTTATTTCCGCGACTGCTGCCATATTTCAACTCAACTCCTTAGTCCAAGTCCAAGTCACATTGCGACTGACGGTCGGTCAGTCTGTCTGTCTTGGTGTCAAGCCCCGGGTGGGGCTCATGACCAGATTTTTTTTTCCTTATATCAAAGTTACTGTCCTGTCCATTTGGGGCGCCCTCTCTGACGAGAGGTCGGGTCTGTCATTCGTCAGTCATAGTCCGTATTAGTAAGTCCATTGTCAGTATTTACATATATTTACAAATATAATCTTAATTCCTATTTCTTTGTACAATATATACAAGGCCTCTGTCAATCCAGGCTCAGTACAGCAGATTATGCCCTATTTCTAATAGTATTCGCTACCATGGCAGTCTAGTCATTTGAATGGTCATATGCCTGATGGCCTCCAAGTTTAAGCCTCTTATACTCTCTGTGTCGGGCGTCATCTTGTCCGATGTTGCGAACATTCTCATTTTCATGATTTTGTATGACTTTTGCTTGTTTCCTGCATAATTTTGTTATATAGTCATATACGTACGGGATTTTGAATGTCATGTGCAAATCGTGGACTGGTGTGTGCCTTGGAAAATTGCCAATGGTGCGGAGAACCTTGTTTTGCAGGCGCTGCAATTTCACTAGATGGGTGTCTGCTGCAAACTCCCAGGTGGGACTAGCATATGTCATTACGGATCTAATAAGAGCTTTATGGAGGGTTACTTTAATGTTAGCACTCAATCGCTTACTTTTGAATAGGGAATATATTCTAATGAATGTTCTGAAGACCTTGGCTTTGATCATTTCTGTGTGCAATCTCCATGTAACTCTCTTATCGAAGATTACACCTAGATATTTTGCACTGTTTACAAATGGAATATTTTGTCCATTTAGAGTGAGACAAGACTCAGGTGGTTGACTACCATGAGAGAAGTAGACCCCCTGAGTCATATCTCATTAATTTTAATATTCCAGCACTCACACCAGGTCTCCATTGAGATAAGACCATGCTGGAGTTTTCTAACAATAAAACCCTTGATGCGATCTGTCGCATACAGACAGGTGTCATCCGCAAAGAGGGCCAGGTGAACACCATGTGTTTGGGGCACATCATTTATGTACAAATTGAGAAGAGTAGGGGAAAGGACTGAACCTTGTGGCACTCCTGCTTGCATTTCCCTTGGGGTTGACATTTCGCCTTCAGCCAAAACCCCGAATTTACGTTGAGAAAGAAAGGACCCAATAAGTCTTCTTTTATAAACCCACAGTTGGACAATGGAAAACCCACCTCGTTTCACTGTTGCGTAAACGCCGTGTTTACAGGCGTTGCTGGGCAAAGTTGCTGAGAGTTATTTATTGCTGCGTAGCAACCGCGGTGTCCCCTGTTACGTCACTGTGGGAAGTGCTGTTACATCACTGCGGGGAGGGGTGTTTAGTGAGCGTTGCATAATGATGGAAGGAGTGGGGGTATGAGACGTCACTCACAAGACCGCAGAGTTCACGTGACCCTTACTTCCTGTTGCGCCATCCACGTCACAGTATACGTAGGTAAATCAATAATTATCTGCAATGTAGCTATAAATTTTATTTCAATACAAATAGAAAACTTACATTAACATCATTTTTCAACATAGTCCCCTTGCTTTTCAACGTACTTGGTCGATCGTTGCACAAGCTTCCTGATGCCCTCAGAAAAGAAGGTTTTCGGCTGAGCAGCGACCCACGCATGCACCGCTTCCTTCACTTCTTAGTCCGAGGTGAATGCCTCTTTGAGTGGGCGAAACAAGTGGTAGTCAGAAGGGGCGAGATCAGGACTATATGGAGGATGAGCCATTACATCAAACTTGAGTTTCTGGAGGGTTTCAGCAGTGTGGGCAGCAGTATGTGGACGAGCATTGTTGTGCAACAACACACCTTTCGACAGTAGCCCTTGGTGTTTGCTTTGAATTGCAGGCTTTAGCCTGTCAGTAAGCGTCTCACTGTAACGAGCACTGTTTACTGTTGTGCCCCTCTCCTGATAATGTTCCAGTACTGGGCCTTGTGAGTCCCAAAAAACTGTAAGCATCACTTTTCCTGCGGATGGTTGGCTTTTGAACTTTTTCGTTACCATGGCAATCCAAATATTGTTGGCAGATGTACAAGTGCGTTTGTTTATGCAACACTGTGAGTTGTTTTGGGACCCATCTTGCACAGACTTTATGAAACCCAAGTCTGTTGTGGATGATTGTGTAGGCAGAACCATGACTAATTTGCAGACAATTTGCCACTTCATCAATAGTCACTCATCTGTCTAACAGAACCATGTCATGTGCACGCTCAATGTTGTCCTCATTTGTGGCTGTGGATGGTCGTCCAGCTCCTTCCTCATGCGTAACACTTGTGCGACCATTTTTGATTTTTTCAATCCATTCGTAGACACTCTGTTGCGGCAAAACACTGTTCCCATATTGTGCTGAAAGTCTTTGATGGAGTGCGGCCCCTGATACACCTTCCGACCACAAAAACCAGATCACTGAACGTTGCTCTTCCTTGGTGCAAACAGAAAGCAGAGCAGCCATGATTAACGGCAAGGCAGCGACGATGGAACTGACCTAGCAACATCAAACCTATGCAGAAATAATGACAAGGAAACCACGCATGGCAATGCTGCGCAAAACGACAGTGCTGCCAACAGAAACACAAATACAATTGCACTGTGGATAATTATTGACTTCCCCTCGTATATATGTAATGCTTAATGGAATTAGTGATGAAACTAGAGACAAAGTTCACAGTTTGACTCACTGTTTCATCAAAGTCTTTTTCTTATTTCAGTTGGAAGTATGCATATTTCATTCTATGCATGTAGTCTACCAAAATTGCTATGACTCAGACTATATTCCAGTATTTAATGTCAGAATTTAGTGATTAGCACTCCTTCATATTTTGGAGTCTGGGTTCAAATGTCATGTTCAAAATGTAGGCATGGCAATTGGCTATTTGTCTGAAGGTTTTCATCATTTTATTTCTGGCAAATGCTGATGGTATGGTATGCTAGGCCACATCACTCTTGGAAGTTACCATTCATGGTTGTGTCATTTCTCATTTGACAGTATAACCACCAAGGCAGTTTATATGCCATTAAATAAACCGAATACTATCTGCTTATAATTGCCAGATGAAAATTGAAATATCTGATAATTCTAGTGTTGCTATTTTCATTTTTCAGGTGAAATGCATGAATTGGAAAAAAATAATGTGCAAGAAAAAGGAAGTTACTCACTTAAATTTATCGAGTGTGGATTCACTTCGCAAGTTCTCTGCGTTTCAAGAAATTTCATTTGAATGTGGTAAAAGTAAGTCAAGAGAGTGCCACATGGACATGGGGGGACTGTATCGCTACCTCGCTGACCATAACTGCAGTTATGTCTTCAGAGATTACTTTGGTGTTGATGGAAAATGTAGTAGCAACCCACCACATTAAGATATGTGAGATATGTGTAACAGCTTTCTGTTTGCTCAGTTATACACCCCACATATCAAACAAAATTATAAAAATGTAACCAAATAAAGGTAGCCAGCTGTTTCTAGGTAATACTGCCATTGTTTGTACTGTATATTGAGAGACATACAAGATCTCAGATGTACTGAATTGCTTAGAGTATAATGCAGGTGATACACTTATATTGTATGGCAAAAACATATTTCTTAATCACCATTTTCTTATGACACAGGTTAAATGGTCAGATGTTGAGTTTTGTGTTTTAAAAGTTATAAATTTATGATGACCGGTGATTGTTTTATTATTTAAGAATTTATGAATATTCTGTTTAAGTTGTTGTCCTAGTTCCCGGATCAAGAGGTCCCAATTTCCACTGCAGAATGGCCAGAAGTGGCTATTGATTGCAAGAGCTAAGCTCTGGTGTTATACTTTCAAAGAAGCCTGAACTGAACTCTCAGAAATTAAAGTTGAGTTCTGTACTGTTGTAATTCATGTCTTTATTTATTATCATTTATCATATATTGTCAATTACAACACATTTAGGTTGGCTGTTTACCCGACGTTCGACATCTAGAGTACCTTCAGGGGTATCTGTTTTTATTTTACAAATTAAACATTAGGTCATTCGAGATTCTTAAAAATTGTTTGAGCATCTGGAATGTGCAAAAACATGCAACCACAGACAATAGCTTTGAGCTAATGTTTAGTTTGTAACATAAAAACAGGTACCCTTGAAGATAAGATTATAGACATTGAAACATGTCGGGTAAACAGCCAACCTAAATGTGTTGTAATTAACAGTCTATGGTAAGACAAACTTGTCCCTGTGCTTAACAAATTAAGCACTACGCCATGAAGGCGTATGGGGGAGTGGATATATAGATCCACATTTTTGTGACCTTGGCACTAGCTGAAGGTGAGTGGTCAGCTTCACGCCCCGGCCATTTTACTCTCCTGGAGAGGGTTGGATAGGAGGTTGGGTGGACCCAGAGCTGGTCTTGACTACTTGGAGAAGAGAAAATTCTTGATCCTGCTGGGACTCAAACTCCGACCCCTTGGTCGTCCAGCCCATAGCCAGTCGCTATACTGACTATGCTACCCTGGCTCCTAACGGTAAATGATAAATCTCAAAATTTACTAAAACATCAGATTTGTGTTTTAGCAAAGTACACAGTTCTAGAGCACTCCATGACCTTTGATTGGCTGTACACATGACATCACAGATTTGGAATTGTTAAGCAACACTACTCTTCCTACTATATAATTATTTCTGGTCCAGATTTCTAAGGGAGTGTCATTCACAACCATCCTACCTGTTGCTCACTTAAGATCACCCTGAGCCTTCCCACTAGTGACTGTATGTGCAAACCCCCAATTTTCTGCTTTCCCTTCAGAATCACTCCATTTTAGACATGCATTCTCCAGCCTAGATCTTTCTTCACGTTATGTATCCTGACACATTATTTAATAACTGAATAACATGGTAAAGTGAATTTGTAAAAGTTAAAAACTGTAAAGTCCATGGTAATTACATCATAGCATTATGTCATAGGTGGGTATGGAACTTTATTTTATGAGCTTTAAATATTTGTGCCACTGATTTTTTTTTGAGGAATCGTAGGGTTATCCAATTTAGGTGACCAGAAAGTATATATGCTTTACTGGAATCTTTTATATGAGTTCTCTTTTTCTTATTGGTACTATTCTTAATTATATATATATAGTACTTCAAATTTGTTTTTATTTACTGGTAAATAGCCATATGTAGTTTTATCATTAGGCCCACAAAATCTTGGCCTATAAGGGCTATAACAGCAAAGGTAAAGGCAGAGCAGATTATTGAACTTATGCAATGATTGGAAAGTACTGTGGATAGTGTAAGAAACACTCAAGTCACTTGCTGAGTGCTGTATATCTTTATGATTCATTAATGTTTATATAAGTCTAACCTTTATCATCTGGGGATACTGAATTTAAATCTTGTGCTGTTGCTGCCAAGCAAAATGATTGGATTAGTACATTGTGATTCTAGATATGCTGGATGCATTTGCTCTCACAATAGCGTGACACAGAGATGGTAAAGGTTATTAAATAAAAAGTATTACAATCAGCATCACTCTGTAATTCCATATTTAGTACAGTTGTGATTATTGATTTAAGGGCTGCAGATACTGAATTTGGTGAAAATGTAATAATTAAAAAAATATCCTTTTTCTCAAAATTAAACTTCTGATCTGTAAGTAATGTTACCATTACCGTTTTATGCCCATATGCAACATGTATCGGATGTAGAAAGACCATTTGCAATGCTCTGATCACAAAGAGAATTACTAGGAGCGTTAAAAAATGATTGACACTAAATGTTTTTTCTTCACAGTAACCATTTATTGGAACAAAATACATACAGATTATATTAGAGGTATTCCCCATCAATGTCTCTGCACCTTTGCCATCATTCCCGTAGTTTCCATAGTTGCACAGCAAACCATTCTTTGGGGGTATTCCAGTGCCACTGCTGGACAACTGCCTGAAGCTTGTTGTTGGAGGTGAACGTCTTACCCCGCATGATGTCTTTCATTGCATCGAATACAGCGTAGTCACTAGGGGCAAGATCGGGCAAGTATGGCATATGAGGCAGCATGGTGTACCCTAGAGCACCCAGGGTGGCAATGGTCTGCCGACTGCCATGTGGCTGCGCATTGTCATGTTGGAGAAGAATGCTGTGCTCCCATTTTCTGTGGTGGCATTGTTGAATGCATCGGCGGAGTTGGTGCAGTGAATTGCAGTACTGATCACTGTCGATAGTTGTACTGGGGGGCAGCCAATCCAACAGAAGGATCCTCTCCTGATCCCAGAATACAGTCGCCATTTGCTTCCGGACGAATAGTCCCGGTCGTGACTTCTTGGGAGGAGGGCTCCCAACGTGCTTCTACTCCATGGACTGGCGTTTCTTTTCTGGAGTCTTGTGCCAGAACCATGACTTGTCGATGGTGACTTAGATGCTCAAAGAACTCCGCCAGATCTGCAATATACAGCTGCAGCAACTGTTGGCATGTCTCCACATGCTTCTGGTTATGTGCAATGGTGAGAGACTGGGGCACCCATTGAGCACAGACCTTTTTCATCAAGTCCTGATGGATGATGGTGTACAGTGTTCTGTGTGACAAACCTGTTGCGTTCTCTAGTTCATCAAAAGTGATGCACCTGTTCCCAAGTATCAAGTTGGACACGTGCTGGGTACTGTCTGGTGTGCATGCTGTTGCTGGATGCCTACTGGTTTTGCCTTTTTCCACACAGTCCTTGCCGTCTTTGAACTCTGCTATCCAGCGAAACATGGTTCTGCGACTTGGTGCTGCTTCCCCACATACGGCTGCTAACCTCGTGTGAATGTGTGAAGCAGCCACTCCTTCCCTCCAGAGAATCCACCGTTGCCTGTGATTGTCTGCTTCCATGTTGTCTGAACGTTGTCCATGACTGCACCTGCACACTGTCACAAATGACACAACACTATTCAGCCTGTACACAGTAGCAATGTCATCTCATGGCCATAGGCAGCACTATAGTATGTCTTCCCACATACACCGGCTTGCATTTGACACTGCTACTTTTCTGGAGTTATGGAGGGAGTGTCAGTCATTTTTGAACGACCTAAATACATCTCAAATTTTGAATGCTTATTTCCAGAAGCTAGTCTTTTGAAACATAGTGGCAATGAAGTCAATATTTCTTCTGATCTACTATACCTAATTGCACAAACTTTGCTGCGTGTTCTTCAGTGTACTTGGAACACATCTTTTGATCCTGAATTGTTTTTTTAAGTTATTGGTATATAATTTATTTTTAGACATCAGATTGAATTTACAATTTTAAAAATATAGCAACATTTATATTAGGTAAACTATAGAAAAATCTCTTCTAGATATTCAAGAATGATAATTTTTACCTTAAAAAGGGCAAAAGTGTACAGTTTTCTCTGGAACTTTATAGTCTGGACATACGGCAAAAAATATGCCTTCCTTTTTAATAAGCAGACAATATATATGAGGTAGAGTCAGTAAATAGATCACAAATTGATATAAAACATATACCATATGACATTTGAACCTGGAAAAACATTTATTTTTTGACATATCCTCCACCAACATCGATACACTATTCCTATCACTTTACCAGTGTGTTGAAACCCGCAGCATAAAAGTCTTTTGACTATTGTCTCAGCCACTTCTGCACCTCCATTTCAACCTGCTTGTCATCAATGAAACATTTGCCACTAAGGTTGTTTTTTAGTGGACCAAACAGATGGAAGTCACCAGGGGCCAACTCTGTGCTGTAAGGCAGATGTTCAAGAAGTTCCCACTGTGGTTATTGAATTCTCTCCTGGGTTGCTTTGGCTGTATGGGGTCTGGCATAGTCATGTTCAAGCAGTACCCTTCTTGCCAGGTAGCCTGGCCATTTTCTGTGAATTGCATCCCTAAGCTTCAACATAACTTCGTGGTATGATGCAGAATTCGCATTTTCACCACACTTCTGGAAATGAGCCAACACCACTCCCTGAGAATCCAAAAAACATGCAAAGCATAACCCTCTCAGCTGGTGGCATAACCGTAAACTTTTTGGTTGAAGGTAAACTGGGATGTTTCCATTGCATTAAAGCACACTTTGATTCTAGTGATGCACCCATGATTTGTGCCCAGTAACAATCCTGTTAAGCGTATCTTTTCCATCTTTATACTGTAAGGGATGTTGCAAGGACAGACCCTTTCAGTTCATTTTTTCTTGAGCTTTCAGTTCTCTGGGCACCCACCGTGCACGCACTTTCCGAAACTTAAAGTGATCAAGCAATATGCTCTGCTAAACCATCGGAACACCCTAGTGCAGTTGCTATACTGTCCGTTGTTATCCTCCTGTTAACTCGAATGAACTTTTCTGCCTGCCGCACAGTTGTTTTTGTTGCAGTCTCAACAGGGCGATCTGGTTGGGCATCATTTGTGACTTTCGAACGTCTTTGAGAGAACTTCTTGACCCAGTTGTGAACCACTTTACATGACAAACACTTCCCACCATAAAAAGGAAACATTTCTTTATGAATATCCTTTGTACTGAGTCCTTTTGCCCACAAAAAAGAAAAGCATTACAGAACCCTGCTCTTCGGTAGAACTCTCCTCAAGTGTGGTTGCCATTTTGACTGCTGAAACTAGCCTCTGAACATGCACGTGCGCGTCTGCTACTTGGGCTGTCATGAAGCTGGACTGTGCTATTATGTAGTGATACACATAGAAAACCTATTAAATCC